GTTACATCATGACGAAACGTCAACAGACCCTAATTAAATTAAGAAACTAGTTTACACCTTGCTACTAGTTAGACAATTATATTCACGTAATATAACATTTTGATTCGTACTCGTACGTGTAAACCGACCCTTAAAATAAAAAACTTGTGAGTGTTATAAATTAGCCAATGAAAAAATAGAAGCTTCGCTTCGCCGGCCAGTTTCACCGAATACCAACTTCGACGGAACAGGTGGCGCTAGTTTTTTACTTTGATGTCAGAGACACCCTCCATCTTTAGTCTCCCCGTGACCACGGCTGCTGCAAAGCATCCCGTAGTTAAAATAATTTTCAAATAAGTTTAGCTAATACATATATCGCGGTTTAAACTGTTAAAGTGTTTTATTTAAATGTTTACTACTTGTGTAAATTACAGACAGTATCTATATAGATAGTATAAGCAGTACTCGCGGGTATCACTAAAATAGGTCAATAGCGCATTTTGTTTAGATGCTATATGACTAGGATATTTCTTTTTTTTTGTGAAACCAAAGCCGTTATAAATGATCGACAGCTAATTAGCAAACAAAACAATGTCACTTTGCCATTATCACATTATGGAAGCCTGACATGGGCAAAAATAGGCAAGGTCTTAACCTACAGCCTTTTAGCCCAGTTCTACAAACTCGTTCAGAATATTAGCGCGGTTTTCCGTCGCTCGGAGAACAACTTTTTATTGCATTCTGTAACTATGTTTATGTATCTATAAAAAGCGGATATTTCTTTGATATTTCACTGTTTATACTGTAATAATAGATATAGACGATGTAGGCAAATCATATGGATGAAAAATTATTATCTTTTTAGATTAACTCGCAAGAACGACAGGACGCGGATAAAAGCTATAATTGAGAAAACCGAGGAGGTTGTTTGCAAAAAAAAATATGATGTCCACAATAACCACTTCACGCGAAGGAAGTCGCGGGCGCAGCTAGCCATTAGAATCAATTTAAGCGTGTTATTGTTTGTAGATAATTCAATTCACGCATCATTATTAACTTTTATAATTATTTTCAACAATAATGTAGGGCGGGCTCCGGCAACCGGGACATGTTTCTAATTCGACGTAATGAACTTTTTCCAGAAATCTGGATATTAAATGGATGATTGGAATATCTAAATTCACTGCGGATCACGAAGTACCATCCAAACATGAAAAAGCTGTGAAGTTTAATCGCGTTTTAGTTTAAATCTGCGGATTACCAAATGTCTATAGCTCGGGTACTTTACTTTCCATTAAGTGAGTCTCATGCTTGTCTATCCTTCTACAACACTTTTTTATTTTTAAGCAAAATTGAGTCTAAAGATGATAAAGAATTTTACAACATTATTGCGATCTATTAGACGTTATGCGCAGGTGGAAAGCAACAAACGCGAACCATAAATGCAGAATTAGTTAACGAGGTTAATTGCTCTTCGCTGAGCATATTTGTTTTGTATGTTTGCTGTTATAGCCTCACCTAACATAAGTTGTTACAAGGCTGACAATTGATTGCTTTTGATTGGGAGTGGTTACACGGTCAATGCTATTGAGTCTCAATCAAATGATATCCTATCTATTGTAGTCACACTCTAGTGTGTCTGTAAACTTTACCATATATATACTAAAGAACTAAGGCCTCTTTGCATATCTATTGGAAAGCTTAGTTAGAATTTAGTTATTTTGCGTTGTTTGATAAGGGCGACGTTCAGAATTTTATATGCATTACTAGCTACTCCACATAACTTATTTGTAGAGAAATTCTATTTCTAATTCTAACCTTACAATAATTTATTGACGCAGGTAGACGTCTGAGGGGTGGGGGGGGGGAGATAATTTACCAAGTGATATTAGATCAGTTATCGAGCGGGATAAATATTGTATAAATTACTAAAATGGTTATTAAAATTAGGGGTTGGTGATAAAAGAATAAAAATGTAGGATTATTTATGTTTTAATGGCACATTATAGAATAATAAAAAATAAAAACAATTAAGGGTGACCCATTCTTATCACTTAGGGGGTATTAAATAGATAGTAGCCGATTCTCAGACCTCCGGAATGTGTGTATAAAACTTGGTAAAAATCAGTAAAGGTCTCGAAGCAGTAACTAACATTGACTAACAAAGATATAGAAATAACTCGTCTTCTCTGGGTCAAACGAGTTATACACTACGCTAAATAGAGTAATGTCCAGACATTAGCGTGAACTATGCTAAATGCTACCATTACACGACCAGAGCATTTGCGTTACAATACTAATTGGAGATGCATTCTCTTATGATATGTTTGAATGGAACTAAACATGGAATAGATCAATAGCATAGCTCAATAATACAGGAATAAGTCAAAAAGTAAATTAATAGTTTAACACGCGACATACATCACTCGGTAGTAAAAAATGATTTACTAATAGGTTATTATCATTTACTTTAATATACGTAATTAATTTATTTTGAATTCATAAATAAGTTCTATAAAACGTACTAGGTATAAATTTAAGTTCTTCTACAATATAATTTCTCAAAAGTTCAAAAATCTAATATTATTTTTGGAGCACAAACTGTCTTGTCTTACTCGAACACAAGAGGAGAGAGAGAGACTACGAGAAATGCATCGTCACTATCTTACGTAGGGTGCGAGGATAACAAAGACACGTCAGTGTTCAAATTAATAACAAAACTGTAGTAATCACTTTTCTTTACTGCCCCACTGAAATAATTCATCATCTTTTTCCGACATTCCAACCCAGACATACTAGCTTTCAAACTAAAATTAAAAAAATAATAACGTCAGATTACCAGCAAATCTCTTGGAAAGTAAAACATTATCACTCGTAATATTAACGTTGACGTAAGCGTCTTTAATGCGGGCGAAGGCTGAATAACATATCCGCAATCCCACATTCCACTTTAGCCTCACTTCCAGCCTTCTTTTGATGTTGCCCCATTTTCATATTTTACTGCTCTCGGCATATTTGGAATGACATCAGATGTGGGATAACATTTTGCGTTCATAAATATACATTATAAAGCTGTAGAGTTTGTTTGTTTGAACGCGCTAATATTAGGAACCAAGTTCTTCAAATTAAAAAATTATGTCTGTGTTAGTTAGGCCCCTTATCGCGAAAAGAATTAGGCTATAAAACATTACGCTGTGATCAATAGGAGCGAAGAACCAGAGGGAAATGTGGAAAAACTGCGATAACGGTTCTGGATTTTTTTTTAAATATGTATGAAAGAATGATTCTACTATAAATAAATATTTTAAGATTAACTTGCCAGAACGACGGGACGCCGACTATATCGTAGGTAACAGATATAATTTATGAACTGCAAAAAAAGGTTGATATCCAAAATAACTATTCTATGCGGACAAAATCGCGGATACAACTAGTATATGTAGATAAGTGATGTAAGAATAAGTCTAATTGATTTATTGCTTGTATGCGTCAATTTTCCGTTGATTTCCTATGCTGGAACACTTGTTATTTATGTATTATAAAACTAAAATAACAAGTTTTCAATATCAATAATTTTGTGTATCACATCTATAATAAACAGTATTTCAATAGATTCTTATATATAAACCGTTTTCGTCGTTGAATATTAAAATACAAGGTAACAGGTTGCGTTTCTCTCCCCGCGCATGCGCCGATGAAAACATAAACAAACCAGAATCGAAGTTACGTACCGCCAGTTGGTTCACGAGTTCAAAACCGGTTCGAGTGCAACGCGTTTTAGTGTTACGAACACCTTTTTATTGTTCCACGAGACCGCTTCGGAATGTTGGTTATTAGTAAATGTTGTTTTTACAAGCTACAAGATATATCTATTAACGTAATAAATCCACGTTGCTAAAAAGCTTGTTATGTTCTTGTTATTCCGGGAAGATAGAATCTGTCCCAAATTACGGCCCCGAATTTGAAAAAATACGTAAATATTTCGTTTTGAACCGTTAAAAATCTGAAATTGTACAATTGTAGGTACATTGACAATATGTAATGTATAAATTGTTACAATATTACGCTCTATCCATCTAATACCCAATTCTGGCGAGTCATTATACTCTTAAGTAATTATATTTCGTTATTATTATTATTATAAATTAGCAATTACTTAACTACCTATGTTAAAAGGTAACGGAGTTCATAAAAACACAAAGTTAAGTCAGCATTCAATCAATTTAGTGTATAATCTAATTACGTTCTACTAGTACGAGCAAGGAGATTAATAGTAGGTACAAGGAAATGATAAACTGCGTTTGTCACAATAAGAAATATACGTATATAGGTTATGTCAGTTACAAAACCAAAAAGGTAATGGATTAGGTATGTTTTGGTAGCAGAATAATACCTATACCTAAGTAATTATTTCTCCCGATCTACAACCAAAATATATAATAGCATCGATTTTTTCTTATTCTAATTATTTTAAAATTTGCTTTACTTAAATAATTATTAAAAATAGTACATCACGCATAGCTCCATTCAAGATGGCGTCTTACGGTATGGTATTTTACATTCGATACAGTCAAGTCATTATGTGTAACAACCTAATAATGCCCCTTATAATGAACGTAAATATTTCGTAATAATGATAATTTTTCAGATAACGTCACAAAGCAGCCAATATTATTGTTTTAAAAACCCGCGTCCTGTTATCGGGCGGCATGGAACGCGCCTCGCGTGACGTCACTGCGCATGCGTCGGATTCATAATGTATCAATCAGTCCTTGAATTTTTCACAAGTAATAAAACTATTGTCTCAGTTAATAAATGTTTCGCGGAGAGCCAGCTAGATGCAGTACCCGTTCTTCCGGATCGCTACACTATCGAACTGTATGTTTAAAAAACAGTTACAATTAGCTCTTACGGACAGGACTAACGGTACACCGTTGGTAAACAGCTAGTGAGAGAAAGCGTTGAGGATTCCAACTCAGTGAAAGCCGGGGTTTCGCCCGCATCGGATCAAACAACCTGTGATGGCGTTGTATATTATTTCAGCGGGTTTGGGCATAGCGGCGGCCATATACTGGTATGTAAACAGACATAAGCCCGTCAAACACATACTCAGTGAATTGCGCTATGCCATCGACATGCAAGGGGCGGGCGCCGGGGGCTTGATAGACGACTGGGTCAGCGTTTGGAACAACAGAGTAACATTGCCAAATGCGAAAAGCAAAATCGCTGTGATAACGGGCGGCGCCCGCGGAATAGGAAGCGAAGTAGTACGAGGAATGCTCAAAGCCAACATGGTAGTCATAATGGGCGTCCGAAACACAGAAGCGGCGAAAAAACTCGCCAACAAAATGGAGAACGGTGACAAACTGCGCGCGTTTCAACTAGATCTTCAATCGTTGAAGTCTGTCAAGGAATTTGCAGACAGTGTTCTAAAGGAGTTTGCCAATATACATCTACTCGTGAACAATGCAGGCATAATGTTTGGAGACTACAACCTCACTGAGGATGGGTTTGAAACACAGTTAGCTGTCAATCATTTGAGTCATTTTTATTTGACACATTTATTGTTGCCAACGTTGAAAAGAGGAGGTACTATGGAGGACCCTTCGAGAATTGTCAATGTAACATCATGCGCACATTTTCCAGGGAAAATATATTTTGATGATATTAATATGAAGGAGCACTATGACACAACTGCTGCTTATGCACAATCAAAACTGGCGCAGGTATGTGATATTTTAAATTAAATACCTATGTATGTTTGAAAGCATTGAATAAAAAACATTTTTATTTCAGCTTATGACTGCAAGATATGTAAATGGCCTGCTTGAGAATAAAGACGCCCCTGTAAAATGCTACTCTGTGCATCCAGGAATAGTAGACACAGATCTATTCACAAACAGTAATTTTGGTAAAATGCCATGGGCTAGGCGACTCTTCTTCAAAACTCCAGAGAAAGGTGCTATATCAGTACTCTATGCTTGCTTTGATAAAGAAATTTTGAAGAAAGGAGGTTTATACATAAGCAACTGTAAAGAAGGCTTCAGCAATAGATTTTCCAAAAATGAAAAGCACCAAAAGAAGCTCTTTGAACTATCATGTGCCTTAGTCCACATTGAAATGGACAAGTTTGGAAGACATTGAATTGAACTAATATAGATAGAGACACATAAGGTTATTTTTGTATTTCCGCATTTGTACTCAATTAAATTAGGTTGTATTTAAAAATATGTATGTATATCTGTATTTCTTCTAAAAAAAAAGATATTTTCTTACAATATAGTTTGATTTCATAAATAACTGAGAAAAAATTGATCTTTATAGGTTTAAACTCTTTTGTAAAAAGTTCTAAGAAAAATTCTGCATTATAAAAACTAAAGTTAATAAAATGTGTGTCACATAAAATATAATGTGAAAAAAAATGCTTACCTGCTAAAAAAGCCAGATAACCCCTTTTTCTTCAACTTAGCTTCAGAGTTTGAGATATCTGGAAATTCATCTTCCTTAGACCCACTAGATCCCAGTGAACATTCTGAGAGGCTAGATATGGTGCTTGAAAATGAACCACCGTCTTTCCCACGCTGATGGCCACTCACACTACCACCCCACTGCAGAGTACTCTTAGGCGAGTCACTGGTATCACTTTTCTCGCACGTTGATATAGAAAAATTGCCTTCATCACTGAAACTGCTCTTTTTACTCAGTTTATCCACGTCTTCTTCAACTGGTTTCTCAACTCTTGGACTTACGAAATGTAGCTGTTTAGTGATCGGATTATACGCAAGCTGGATATTGTCTAGGGCTTCGCTCAGACGCATTCCATTCTTGGGGCACGGAGTCGACATTGTTGACAATAATAAACTACATCCATATTTCGACACCGCACACTTTAATAATTTCTTGCTAACATCGTAGTTAACTAATTAACTTGCGTCTAATTACGTTCATTCAATATTTAATTTAGATTGATGAAACGACAATAACACTCGACGTAAATATTTGATTTAAATTAAAAATAGAAAGCTGTGATTCTATAAACAATACTAAATATTGCTTCAGGATAATGTCGTTCAATATAACATTATATTTACATTGCGTACATTTTATTGTTTAATGAAATTAACTCTACTCTAAAAACGTATTGTACAAAATAAAACAGAAACTACACACCCATCACAAATTCTGTCTCACTGTAAATAAATTTGACAATGACAAAATAGGTTTGTTGTGACAACAGACTATAGCAAAAGCGTCTGTCAAATACAATGTTGCCACGTACAAATTAAAAGCGTGCATGATTATAGAGTATACATGATATACTAAACTTAAAATATATAAAACAATACCATAACAACAAAATATGTCATACGTGATAACCATTTTATTATACATATTTTACTTATTAAGTAATATTACTTTCATCTTGATGTCAATTCTTTAAATAAATAGTTAAAAGGTCCAAAGGTGGACCTTTACCTTTACTTTTAAATATTTTATTTAGGCACATTGTTAGACTTGGAAATATGTGTAATATTAAAACCAAAATAATAACAGAAAAGTATATTTATTTAAATCAAGACTATACAACAACAATAATTATAACTGCATCATTAGCCTACTCATGTGTGATCTTTCTCGACATCAGTCTTCAAAAATGTTTCATATTGTTCTTCATTCATAAGATCATGCAATTGCTCTGGTTTAGAAAGTTTAAGCTTAAATAGCCATCCTTTATCGTAGCATGAAGAATTAATGAGACCAGGTTTCTTTTCTACCTCCTTATTCTTCTCTGTTACTGTGCCACTGACTGGTGAGTATATTTCACTTGCAGCTTTAACACTTTCTAGCGCACCACACTCATCACCAGCTTTTAAAGTCATTCCAGGGTCTGGGAGCTGTGCAAAAACAACATCTCCGAGAGATTCTTGTGCATATTTACTTATTCCTACAGTACCTATGTCTTTTTCTACAAGAACCCATTCATGTCGATCAGAGAACTTTTTATCAGGGTTTGAACTGTACTTGTAGCGTAGTTCACAGAATGACTGTCTTATATTTGCTTTTAAAATATGCCGTGAAGAATATTGTTTTGAAGCTTGGAAGAGGCATCTTTGGAGAGTCATTGTGTCCTGTAAATGAATCAATATGAGATAAATAAAAACAGACTAAAATAGCAACTAGAAAATATATACCATCAGCATTAAAATAAGAGGGTTTACAAGCTCAGAAAGTAGCATGCAATATATATTTCAATATGAGATACATACGTACTGCACTAAGATGAATTAATTAATGACATAAAAACTGAGTTAAGACATTGTTGATAACTAGAGATAACAATAACCTCTGAACTATGCAAACAAACTGATAACTCTAACAACTCGCGCTGAAAGCAATATAATCTTAAGTACTTAATTAGCAAAACAATACTGATGCTATTGTGGAAGTTAAAATGTTAATATATGTAATAACTTTATCAACATTATATATATACAACATCAAAATTTTATTTGTAATTAAAATAGTTCCGAAATTACTTACAAGAATAAATACATTGATTTTTAAAATATGATATGTTTTGGTTTATGTAACATGTACTATTTGTTATGAATTTTAAAATTAATGGACTAATAATGCTATAACATAAGAAATTATAGGATATTAATTACTATTTACTTTTTCTCTCCGGTGTTCAACTTTTGCTGTCAAGTCAATGTCAGTTGCATAACAAACTTATACATTGGTTGATATAATTGCAACACTGATATCGTAACGTCATCGAATTCCACTATTTTATTGTCAAAATAACTCCATACAAAATAATGTCATTGTTCGTTTAGCCATGACTGAAAGATGTCAAAAACAGTTTACAGGAAAAAATCGTAATCAAAATTTTATTATTTACGGAGGAATTCTTTCTGCTTTACTAGCTGTTTTATATTTTTACAGGTACATTAATATACGGACATTATTCTACAAACAATAGAACAGGTATATATAATTTCCTTTTAAACTTTTTCAGATTTCACTTGGTCACAATAATAGTGAGTTATGGATTGGGATGTGTGGCTTGTTATTATGCTATTACCACTGACTTTTTGCGAAACTATGTTGAACAAATTACGTGCCATTTCATACAAAAATCACCAGAAAAAGCGACCCCGAGAAAGGTAAGGCACAAGTTATTTATGCCAACAAGAAGTTATTTTGACCTAGGTGGAAAAAACTCGATAAGTAATGATCGTGACTAATTAGCGCTAATGTAAATAATTCGGAATTTATCGTTAAGAAAAATAATTATTAATTGCTAGAAATTGATAGTATCTTTTAGCTTTGATTGTGTCAACAGTTTTAAACCAATATGAATATTTTGGTTTTTATTAAATATGAAATGTAATATTAAATTATAGCTTAATTGTAAAAACAATATAAGATTCTATTGTTAGAATTTTATTACAAATAAATCAAAATCTTTTTTAAAAGGAGGACTTTGAAATCATAAATACCCAATTCTTTATATGTGTAGAGAAGGTAAACATATTTATTTAATTAAGGAAATAGATACACTTTTTATATGTGTATAGGAAACACTTAGAAGATTAGATAAGAAAGGAGATAGGGATAATTAAATGTTTGAAACCAGCAGGGTTGCAACACTTGTGGATCAAGAGAGTGTGATCGTCATGATCCTCAAATGTCTGCAGAGCCCTGGAGAGGGCTACAAATACATAAACAGTTGGATCAAGCCATAGAAGATGTAAGTTTTTATCTTCTTGTAATATAGAAATAGGACAATGCAAGGTGGGCTGATCAGTCCATATTATACCTAACCTATCCACACTCAGCTAACCATTAACTTCCAAAAATATTCAAAATATCTGAAACAAACATTGATTCAAAGCATCAAATTAAATAAAACATTTTATTAGTAAACCATTAGTGTATATTTTATGTGTGCTACTGGCATCAACTTCAACTATGCTTGCAATAGATTTTATGCAGCAGTTACTAGTAATGAACTATTCATACTGTATTGTTGATAGTAATTTGTATTTACACAACAATTTTAAAACTGTTAAGAATAAATTTTGGTACCTAACATACATTGTGACATATACAATTAAAATAAATAATACACTTTTAGCAGTTCAAAAACAAAAAAATAGTTATTCTTAACTACAACGGTATATCCCTAAGTTCTTCATTAAAAATAAACCAACTAATATGTGTATCACTGTAATATACTACAAACTAATATTTATTACTTTTTCCATGTTTACAGTTTTACAATACAATTTTAGAGCAATTTATAAATTCATGGTACACCAAGATTACAATCCAACCGTTTTTCGTGGACGAATTAAGGCATCAACTGAGATTTGCTTCAGCATCATTATTAAGGAGGGCATTGAAAGTAAGTCAAATATACTATACAAAATAAACATGAATGGGTCTTGTACCCATGGATTACAGTATTGGTGTCTACAACTTCTTTAAATTTCTTTGTTTTTATCAACTTATTTAGGCACCTTTTGTGACAAGCAATGAAAAAAATTACATATACAAAATGTCCTTGCCCTTGAGTGCACCACTTTGCAAAACTAAATAAATGCACTAAATGGAACAATATTTTTATAATGGAATATTGTTTGATTACTTTAAAAATATACAGAATTGATGCACAGTGTCTATCAATGTCGTTCATACTCATAGTTTCCCAGATAAGTGGACTTGCGAAAAATGTATTGGTATAGAATTCAGTGAATAGACAAACCTGTTTATCAAGATTTCCAGTTAAATTATAATGCCATGACAAAGTTATGATGCTTAACTAATGGATTATAATTTCAGATAGATTATGCTAAACTGATATCAGAAAGGTTGGTCCCGTGTGCGTTACGTCACTACAGTGTGGTGACGTCAGGGGCTAGGCCGTGTATGCACGTAGCGGCGAGCAACCGTTCCGCTGAGTTGCGATATCTGCGCTGTGTGACTGAGGCCTTATTGCCGTATTTGCTGAGGAATAATGAGATTCAAAATTCGTAAGTATTGACAATAAGCAGAAGTGTTGGTAAATATTGATCTTCTTTTAATTTAGCGTTGGGTAGATACGCAAAGGAGATCACTCGATGGAAGGTGAAATATCCCCTCGTTAAACAAATACACAAGATGTGCTCTAGATCTTTTTTTGCTTCGGAAACCACTGAGTGAAACCAAAACTTTGATTTTTAATTAGTAGCTTATATTGCTACCATTAAATTTCTGTTTTAGCCAAAGGTCACAAGTGTTAAGCATTAATATTTCTAATATAAAATAGTAAACCATACAGTTATCTTGTTAGTACCCTTTAATATTACTATAAGTACACTCAAATATGCTATCTCTTTCGTACTCAGTCGCTAGAGAGAGACAGGTTATGTTTTAACAGAATCCTACCTAATAACCATATTGTAAATTTTTGTTGCAGAGTATTTAAAGTTTTAATACGAGAAATATTCGCGGGCTGGGTGCTTCTTTCGCTGACTGATGTGTTGGCGGATCCCTATATTCTGAACACGCTTATTATTTTAGCCACTAGTAATGAAACAATGGCGCCATTACCAGCCACGCCTAACTATAAAGTAAGTAGCGTAACTAAACCACCGACATGACAATTAGAATTGTAGACTTATAAGACGATAGTTTCAATAATTAATTGAATTGATTAAGTTAAATATATTAAAATTAAAAAAAAAAACTTTAACAACGGTATAAAACGCGATATATATTAGTTTATTATTGGAAATTATTATAACTACGGCCCGACATTTCGGACGCTTTTCAGCAGCCTTGGTCACAGGGAGACCCTTTAAACCAGTGATTCCCAAAGTGGTCGACCCCTAGGGGTCTATGACAAGCTGCAAGGGGTCTACGTCAGGGAAAAAAACTGACAGTACTTATTTACTTACATTATACTATCTTATAATATCAAAACATATATAATAAAATAAAACACTTTAATGGTTTAAAACGCGATATATTAGTTAAATTTATTTGAAAATGATTTTTAACTTCGGCCCGACACTTCGGATGCTTTGCGGCAGCCGTGTGTTTAAATGTTTACAGATTTGATTTTTTTTATTGCTGTTAATTGATAGATACGCAGTTACTATGGATACCTGTAATATAATAAGAGACCCAAGATTTAAGCCCCAAGTTAACCAGAAGCCAAAATTCCCTTTGCAGGTGGAATTTCTTGAGACATTCGTGCGTCAGACGGAGTCTGTGTATGCGCAGCGGCCTCGTCTTCTGCGCGTTGAGCTGGATTTACTGGTTCACGAGCCGGACCACTTTTACGCCTTCATGCAGCACTTGAAGAGCAGCGGAACCATACACGTGCTGCACTTCTATAAGGATATCAGTATGTATAGTGTATATTATTTTGTACTAGTTAGGTACCGAGGAGCCGCCGCTGTAGCTAAATGGTTAAACGTGTTGCTTTGCGTTTGTTTGATTTCGGGCACAAAAGGACATTTAGGTACACACAGGGTGTACCTAAATGTCTGTATATCAAACAAATCAAAACAGGACACACAAAAGAGGATGGCCCATGGCCCACATGGGGAAACGAGATTTCACTTTTGTAGCGTTACTCATGTCCTAAGTCAGTCCCGAGTCTTTTATTTTAAAAACAGCAGCATTCAACAAAATAAATTTAAAATAAGTAATGAGTTTCAATCATATATTTCGCGTTTTAAACCGTTGAAAGTGTTTTACTTAAATATGTTCTACTCGCATAAACAGCAGATAAGACATATAAATAGTACTCTTGAAATATATTAAAACGTAAAATGTCTTAAAATAAATAAGCAATTTGCAATTTATCACTTGGCTTCCTTTTTTTATTTTGGGTTCCAAAGTGTTATCTAATTGTTACAATTTCTGAAAAACCATATTTCCTCGTTATTAATGATTTTCTGCTTTGACTTTGAAAGATATTACTAAGGTAATATCCTAAAATATTGTTACAATTATATTATTTGAATTTCAGAATCGTTTCAAACTCGAATACTCAACCCTGAACTGACAGCTAAAGAGCAAGCCCAATTACACCGCGAAGCGAAAGAGCTGTACCTCAGGTATATCGCCGTCTCGCTCCCGTGCGTCACTTTACCGGATGCGCTAGAGCGAGAGCTCCGAGACATGCTGAATACAAGCGAGGATTGTATCAAAAGGTATGTTCCTACATTAAAATTAATATAACCTTAACTATGAATGCTAAATGTTATTTGTATAGTTTGATTTATTATTTATTAAAATATCTTCCCTCTCTGGTCTAGATTTAAAACCGACCTTAAAATAGTAGGTTGTCAATTCGATTCGTATATGCTTTTTTATGTTTGTTCATGCATAACTTTGTCGTTTATGCATAGATTTTGATAATATTTTTTAGGTAGATATTTATTTTAGTAGTGAAAGTTTTCTTTATACTTGTATACTTTTTATTACTAGATTTATTTATTTAATTAAGAAACACCAAAATAATTAATTTATAGTAAGAGATGACAGTATATGGCATAAAGGTACATCCTAATACACTGATAATTTATATAAAAATTCAGTTACAACTTAAATTATCTGTTTGGTTTTGTAATATTATAAAAATAGAAATTGATTTAATTATTTATATTTAATTTTTTATAATAGAATAACAGTTCAACTATTTCATTTAATTGGATCGACTACCACAACCATTGTTAACCATAAAATTTAACTTTTAACATGTTTATTTTGTAATAACAGGTTGCAAACAAGTCGGGCACTGTACCAGGCTGCTCACCAATCCCACGCGATGCTGGAGAAAGTATTGATGCCCAAGTTTCTGCACAGCGACGAAGTAAGGGACAGTTTTTAATTTAAACACAAAATATACTTACAATGCACCTCATACATTTGACGGTTTAAACACGTAAATATCCGCCAAATGCAACTTTGACGGAACAGATGGCGCTAGCGTAGTTTGCTTCGCGTTTTAAACCGTTAAAGTGTTTTATTTAAATTGCTTTAAATGTCCTAAATTTTGACGCATTCTTATTAATATTTAGGTTTTTAAAGGTTAAAGTGTATCTCTTGCTAATTATAGAAAATAAATTTTCAGTTCTACAAATTGTTGATCGGACCAAGAATACCTACTGGATATCATAAGATGCTAACCAAAAGGTATGTTGTGTCTTTTCCATGCTCTGTAAATTTTTGTGTTTTAGTAGTTTGTACGATTTCAGCTGGCTTATATACAAAAATAACTTCAAACAAGAAAAGTCGCGGAAGTAATCATCCTAACAAGAACAATTACTTTTTGAGGATAAATAGAAATCCATATTTTCATCATATTTCATCATTCATTCTAGTGTCTCTGATGCTGTGTAGTGTAGCTGATGTTTTTTGGTAATTCAAAAAAGAGTTCTTGCACCTTAACAACTTGATCGATTTTAATGAAATTTTGTACATATGCTCAGAAAGCCACGTTTAATTAAAATTAATGTAATAAGCTAATAAGTGTCACAAAACTATAAGTTGATGAAATATTGCATCCGAGGGGAGTAGAACCCTCGCCCGTTGATAAATAGTCACACATTGCTACCATTATCCAGTCCATCATGTTACTTTCAGGCCTCAAGAAAAACCATTTAAATTAGGTACTAAATTACGCAACGTGCTTCGCTCTCAGACGGTAGATGGGCAAGTACTAGAATCTAATCTAACTGATGAGGAAGGTTTGGAAAATGTGGATATCCTCAAGTATCTGGACTCGTTAGCGGCTGACGACAGCCTCGGCGATCAAGACCTTAGCACATATAAGGTTGTGTTGACGAACGTTGAGACTAGATTGGTAAGTATTATGTGAGGACCATACAATTTTCGTAACTTAAATTTAACGCAACTCAAATGTAATTTTATTTAAACGTCGCAACACACTTTTATATTGAGAAAGTCTATATTATGTTATAAAAAATTTGGACAAAGTCTAAATCGTTACATGGCTTAAAATCCTTATGGTAAATAAAAAACTTTTAATGTACATAAAATTTTATATAAATTAGAGGGGTGTTTTAAACCGTTGAAAGTGTTTCATATTAAGGTTTCTATGTAGACTATAGATAGTCCTGAATAGCTTTCATTACCCATAAATTATTTTAAGCTCTGTTCTTAATCAAGAATTTTTTTAGCAACCCCCGCCTCGCCGCGGCCCAGTCAGAGTCTTTAGCATGGCGGTGCACCATGTCAGGCCAGGTGTCACTGCCAACCTTTGGACCGTCGAACGCACTGAACACGACTTCCATCTACTAAGGAGTAAGCTTCAAGAGTTCCATGGTGACCGATTGCTGGCTCATTTACCTTTGCCTTCTAGAAGGTGCGTTATATTTTGGTCCTTCGAGTCGAACTTTATTAACATAAATTTTTCTGGTGTACGTCTTAACTTAGTCATGGTTACTCTTACGTTTTTAGCTTGAAAGTGCGACCAAACATATAATAAAAATAAATAAGCATTAATAAATAGGATAAGGAAACGAATTGTAATGTCTTATAAGTTTGTATGTAATTTTTTAATAACTATTATATTTTATTGTAAAAAGCTTTTTCGTGTTATAAGAAATATTTTTTTTGTGATAAAAGAGAACTGACAAGCATAGGGTTCACTTGGTGGTAGGTGAAATAGGCTAAAGCATCCAAACAAGATTCGATGTCGACCTATATTGGCTTTGGATATTCGTATATTTTATATTATGAATATTTGGGTATAAATCCACAGACTGAAACCGAATCGTAATTAAACTTCACGGCCTATTTTCATCTGTGGACAGTTGTTCATTACTCGGATAGAGTTTCGATATTCCTACCACCCATATATATATCCAGTTTTCTTCGTAGATTATATATAAACTGTAATATTTCAGAGACAACAGCCCACTCGAAACGCTCCGATACAAGTACGAAGACTTCTTACAAAGGATTCTTCAAATAACCCTACTTCAGACGAGCGAATTGCTGTACCTTTTCCTCACTGTTGACACGGACTTCTCGTTGGTGGTCCAGGCTTCGACGCTCAACGTAGGCACGGATCTTGGGAACATATATCAGTCTGTGACACATAGATTGAGAAAGGAAAAGGGGCAACATCTCGAAAGCTTTCTGAGGAACTTCCTAATTTCGTCCGATAAGGAACGATACCAAGCGCTGTAAGTAAGACTCATCGATCTTTTTTGGTTTGGTTAATCCGAATGGCTAAACATTACAAAAATTGAACCAAAAATCTATGGTCAAATTTTTATTTACTATTAAACACCAACTTTTATTTGTATGTAGCTGGTTTATAGTTTCGCTATAGTTTGTGTGTTAGTGGTTGGTGTTTTGAAAATACGAAACTTATGGTCGTGATTTCGTTTCCTACCGGGCCCAAGATTTTTTATAATTGATTAGAAACATGTTGGACTTCGTCTGGAAAACCGGACATGGACCGTCCACATATGATAAAGCCGTCAAGTTTAATCTATCGCGTATCGGTTTCATCTTCATCTGTGCATTTCCGAATATCCAAAATAGGTAGATATGTATAAGATGCGCTTTATTTAGATGTTTTATAGATTTATTGCGTCCTCCTCTATGATCAAAAAACATATATTTTCTATATAACGTGAATTACAGAAAACAAGGTACAACACGCGAAGTCGAAGAGGCCCAAGAAGTGAACGAGAACGTTGACGTACCCGCCCGGAAACATTACGTACGGAATATACGCAATCGAACGTTCGAGAACAACTTCGACGCACGGCCTATTATCACGGATAGAGATATGAAGCACCAGACTAGCGTGGTGGGATTTACTCAGTGCGTTATGTATATTTGTGAGTATCAAAGTCTTCATATTTAATAGGATAATCAGCCCTTTTACTGGTCCCACATCTGGGACTCTTAATCTACTGCCCTCAATTGTTTCGTTGTCAGAGGACACATTCATTTACGATGAAGTTTTTTTTTATTTCTATAACCAAAATGGCCGTGTCCATACAAGAGGATAAATAATATTGTATCACGGCTGTAAATCAAATTCTCGACCCGATAAAATTAGTCAAGGACCACATTTAATAAATACTTTTGTTCTTCCAGTACTGAGGGTAGTAAAAACACACCAAATCGTTACGGGGGTCATTGGAAATGTATTGTCGATGGCTCGTGGATTGGTGGATAGTGCATTTAATACAACTCTCAACCAACGACTCTGCGACTTGCTCAGTGAGAGGAGATTAGCGCACCTTATTCGATTAGGGCATGGTAAGATTTTTATTTTAACCCAAATACAATGAAACCGCTGTTTTTATATTTTTTTGTTTGATCGTTATGACTAAAGTGTTGAAGAAATTCACACTTTACCTCACTATTCTATTAGTTTAAGTATACAGTTAAATAAATCACTTCATACGTTTTAAAACGCCTAATATACCGTAATAGACGTCCGAAATATACATTTACTAATATATTTCATCGTTTTAAACCGTTTATATTTAAATGTGTACTACTCTAGTAAACTACAGATAGTACACATATTTTTAATGACAGAGAGGAGAGACGAGCATGTGACTTGGTTGATGGAATCTAAACTATCATAAGTCAATATTATGATGATAGATCTATAAAAATGTGCTGTTGACCTATTTTGAATTCCATTGACTGAAACTGAAACCTGATTGCGGTCACGAAGCAACATCCTTGGGGAATTCGATAAATATCCAAATTCACATAAAAGTATCTATCGCCTAAAAATATATTTTAAATATAATAAAAATACATTTAAAAGAATAGAAGAACGAAGAAAACGCACATTTCATAGTTAAACTAGCTGTGTCAGCGACTTCGTCCGCGTAAAATAGTTATTTTGGGCGTCAAAATTCGTTTTTGCAAACACCTCCATCTTTAGAAATTTATGCCGTTACCCATGACGTCGATCGCATCCATTTCCTTCGTTCGTGCAAGTTAATCTTAAAAGATAGACATATAGCATCACTTCTTGGGTATCTCGAACCGTTTTTGCAGCGTACGCCTCGGAAACCCATATTAATGAATAATTTACCCTTTTTTTTCATATGTCGCTGTATCTTCGCTTGTATTACTCACAGGGCTGTTTTATAGCCTGTAGCCTTTCTCGACAAATGCTGTAACCAACACAAAAATATTTTTTCAATTCGTATCCGTCGTTACTGAGATTAGTGCGTTCAAACGAACAAACAAACTCTTCAGCCTTAATAATTACTATATATTTTAACGCTTTTGAATAGTATAGAGGTATTATGAACTATGTATTCCACAGGTATTCTGTTCAGCAAGCGTCCGTCAGTGCGCAGTGACGTAATCCAGCACCGGGCGGTTGCGCGTGCGCGTATATCCACGTGTTGCAATCGCCGCGAGCTCTTCGTCCTGGGGCCGGGGCTTCAGCGCGCGGCGCTAACCACCTTCGATATTATACAGAACCCGCTGCTAAATAAACAGGTAAACGTTGTCTTTTAAAAAATTATGAACTTATGTGTTCGTTATTCCGCCCTGAAACAGCGTCTAAGCTCAAACACTTTATTGCGAAAACTTTTTTTATTTCAAGTTACAGATAGGATTATAAAATCAAAACAAAAATACCACAAAAACTTTAGCATATTTTTTAAACTATTTTTTGTTTCAGTTGGTCTACAACTTACTAGATCTGTGCATTTTGGAATTATTCCCAGAATTGCGTAGGGACGCCAGTTGAAACATGGTCAAACACACCGGCATCCCGGCGTGGACCGGTGGATTCCAGTAAATTCCACGCGAACCAAACGTATTAAACATTGTGCGTAATTTGTATTTAAACTGTAAATAAATATATTTTATTATAAAAATATTTTTTCTAATAGCTATGAACCTCTGTATGCGAGTATAGACGAGGTTGTGTTCTGTAATTATTAATGGAAACGCCAAATAAATTATTTTCATATTGTCGCACATGTGTTTTTACTTCCACCATCTTCAACTATTTTTCGATCACGGGAGAACCGAAGAAGTAAAAATTAGGACACGTAATTGATCAGTGAGCAAACTGATATCTAAACCTAGACTCGCGTCCCAGCGGTGGGAACAAAACATAGTTTCAGGTCTTGTAAAATACTATTATAAAACTTTTGAAGGATTTAAGAGTAAAAAATACTACAAATTTCAACATGCAAGTCATAAATGAATTTCCTTTTTACGAGTAACAGTTGCTTATTATATATTTTAAAAAATACCAGTTATTTTTGTAAAATATATATATTTTTCATTAATCAAATGAGTTTCTGTTTACAATCTAATGTTTTGGGTATAGTACACTTATCTTGAAGAAAAACGGCAATATACAATACTTGAATATAATTTTTATTAGTGCACATACAATGAAATAACAAAACCTTAACCGATATCACAAAATTAAACTTGCTCCATTGCAAATTAGTTAACGTTACTGAGATATAAAAATATAAAATTTAATTACAAAATGTTTCGAATAAAAATATGTATAAAACACTTATTTGTAAGAGAAATTAAAATAACATGCACCAACTTGATAAAAGGCTAGGCCTTAAAAATCTTGAAAGGTCAAACACTAATCAAATTCAAAGACATTACAATTTATCAAAATTGGTGAAGCCGTTTAGCGTAAACAGTAACCAACACAAATACGTTCTAACGGACGTTTGCATTCATACTTTTAGTAGCCCGACTTATACTATACTTTGTATAAGAATATACGTTTATATTTCAGGATTACAACACATTTACAGAAAGATTAAAATCCAAGAAAGAGGCAAGAATCAAACCCACTACAAATAGCGTACCGAACTTTTGTGTTTTAATTATACAGATAACTAAGATCTTTAAATTTGATCAATGTTTAATTATTCCTACTATTATAATTCAACTATAGTTATTAGTAGATAATTATTAAAAATCTGTTTCTTTATAGAGGGCATAACGCGGTGAACACACATTACATTATAAATCTAATTATTATTTTGAGAATCTTACCATTACTAGACATAGTTCAAGATAATGTGAATATAGTAATTTACATCTATATATCTGAATATTGAATTTATCTGACATTTTGAACACAACGTGTCTAAGGAACGGAGGGAAGACATAATTGTTATGAAAGTATGATGAATAACTTCTCTACTTATTTGTTTTTCAGGTAATAGGGGATTGGTAAAATTATTAATAAGTGTTTTAAATTAGCCTTTTATGCATTTTATTTCCATTTTTTATTTATACACTTTGAAGTACTTAAAACTGTGTTTTATTATTGTTTGTTTTAAACTCCACCACGAGGCCACGTTGTGGAGTGTGACGTCAATGATTGCCCACGAATGACGTCACGCACTGTGATTTTATTCTTATAAATTTTGGTATATTTTAATTTCATTAATTATGATATATTGTTATTCGATAAACAATCATAAAACCACATATTTCTTCGACAGAAGTAGATTTTACATTGATTACGATGGAAAATGAAATTTGCTTCATGATTTTTCTTCTTGTAACAAAACATTTTTTAAAGATAACAAAAATATACTGCTGGTATGTTAATGTCTCTATCACTCAAATGTAATCTTATGTATAGTAGTTCTATATCTAAGTACGACAGAAAGAGACATGGACATAGAAAAAGACGTCAATAACATGCGAAACAGCATACTAATTAATATAACAATGTCCTAAAGACATTGTTATATGTACTTGTACAATGTACTTAAACTATATATTAAAAATAATACATATTTCTGTTATATAAACCAAAATATTTATGCATATATAGTTGAATTATTAAAATGATAAAAAGCCTCCTACCACAAATATCTTGAATTTGAACCTAAAATTTCACTTATCTATGGATTAAAACCGAAAGAGATATATTTCACGACTAGATTAACATATTAGACTACAAAATAATTGGCAATTTCCCCCAAAATCAAAGACCGAGATCATTTTTTTTGGCTTTATATATAACATTTTGTATTTGTACATAAATTACTTGCATCAGGAACTAAAAAAACACATTAATAATATCGACATTGATTGGTGTTATTTGTAATTTTCTTTTAAACCTATACATTACAGTAGGTGTCGTTAGGCTTATCGCATATTTCAAAATGTTGCTTGATGGGTTCTGAGTATAGTTGCAAAGTTTCATTAAAGTCACCCGAGTAGCTTAAGCGCAAAAACTCATTTATTCATTAACAAAATACAGCATTGGTAACTGCTAAGTGCGTGCTATCATTTTCAAACATAAAAGGTGATAAAAACACAACGTCTTTTGCGCTATTTACTTGGTATGACATTGTTTAAATTTGTAATTGGTTTTTGGTATGGTAGGTGAACGCTCCTGTCACATAACATCTAAACAGGATGCCCTGTCCATCTATTTCGGCTTCGGATATTCAGCAATCCACAGACTGATTTAAATATATGTGATAAGTCAACCGGCACTCTGTTTAACTTTTTTTTTCACTAATTTGTAAATAATACTTGTGTATAATTTCAATTATCATATTGACGCTTCCTAGCATATTTCGTTAAATAAAATAAACTATGAATGATGTAAAAACTCAAGTATGACCTTATTTGGGTTAAAAATAAGCTAACTTGAATTCCTATATATATAATCTAATGAGTATCAAACAAAAATATATTTCAAATAATGTTCCGTAGAACATTAAAATCCTATGTTTTCTGCGTCATTTTTTGAATAGTCCATTTAACACTTAGCGATCTATCCAAATTGACGTTAATGTTCAAAATCGTGAGCACTCTCGTCTTTTGGTCGTAGCTGAACGTTGCTGCCGCGTTGTTGACTGTAACCGTTTTGATGGGATTTTGCGCGAAGACTTTGATTTTGTTAATCGATGGAACTCCGTAACCCCACCATTGTATGGAACTGGTTAATTCATTTTCTTTTACTTTGAAGACTATGTGAGTGTATTTCTTCTCTTCGTAGCTGTCTGTGAGTATAAAAAAAAACATCAATATCGAATTAATGTAATTAATGCATCAAGTTATTAATAAATTAATTAGTTAAATTTAAATAAACCACTTTAACGGTTAAAAAATATATAACTTAAACCTATTTACAAACTATTTAATTACGGTCCGATATTTCGCAAGTTTTGCAGCTGTGGTCACGGGGAAACTAATAATTAAACATTTGTAAATAGTTTTAACTTATATATTTCGCGCTTTAAACCGTTAAAGTGTTTTATTTAAATGTGTAGGTAGTGCTTGCGTACATAATCTACAGTCTATACTTTGCAAACATAAAAAAAAAAGATTTTTAGTCCATTCTTAGCTTCGGACTATGGGCAGTTATTCTTTAGACCGAAATAATGGCAACACCTAAAATAATTAAACTTACTCAGACTATCGCCATCGTCCCAATAAAGTTCGCCGCTAGCGACCCCGACGGTATCGGGTGCTATAAGTATCTGTAGTGGTAGACTGCGGGTGTTGCCAGTATTCACTGGACCTTTGACTGGCGGTTCTTGTAGGACTAGAATAGAGCCACCCTGAAATTATATTAAAAAATTAACTACTGACTACCAGTAAATCTATTAAGATTTAAAAAATCGACGCTGACAGGACTCGCTTGAAAATACGATGAAATAAAAATAAAATTATTCATTAGGTTATTCTGTTTAAACAGTAAAAAATAAATACTCTAAATTAACTTTACTATCAATTCTCAAATCAAGGGCGTAGGCGTAACGAGAAGAAATGGCAAGAAACTCGCCGCCATTCCATATATCAATAACACCAATAATTACATTCAAGTCTCTCCGCAATTTAGGTGTACATCTTAAATATAATTCTTACCTTAATAAGCAAGTAATAAGGCTACAATTACATTGCGCGAGATGTGCATTTATAGTTCTATAAACTCGACGATGACGTGTATGACACGATACTTTAATTTGTTAGAGCAACCAGATGCCGCTGCAAGACCTGCCCGTGTCGTTCCACTAACCCTATGCATTGTCGCTCAAATGTATCGATAAATGTACTCACTCTAACAGCGACCATTTCGTCGTCTCCGATACTTCTCCAAGAGTCAACAGCTAGTTGTTTTCCCGTATTGAAGGAATACCAAGGATTCGGTCCCGGGTAGAAGACATTAGTCGAATTCGCCCCCTCTTCCAGTATTCCCGTTATCATTATGTGGTCTCCAATCAGGAATTGAGTGTCTATGGAGTATACACGGGGATCTTGTGGGAATCTGTATGGAAGAAAATGTTTATTTTTTTTTGATGGAGAATGACAGCAAACGTGGGGTCACTTGATGGCATTAGAAATACTCCAGCCATATTACATCTCAAAAGATGCGGTCTCGATTTGTCTTTGGATATTCGGAAATCCATAGACTGTAAGCAAAACGGTGAGCTACGGTATTTTTTATCTGTGGACGGTGGTTCGTTATCCGGAACGTAATTTTGATTTCCACGACTTGACATGAATGACACCATATATCAGGAAGAATATAAATACATTAGAAACGTGATAGACTCAGAGGCGCTCAAACCCACGACCCATTAATTATTAAGCATACATTACTACCATTGGATTGACGACGCCGTCAAAATGATATAGTGTAATATATAAATTGTATATGGCTATTGCGGCCATTTTGCAAATCTACTTTTCGACTTGTTAGTCAAACAATTGAGAAATAGTGTTCGACGTTTCGCTATCACGAGAGGACGACAAAGTGATGTCGAGCAGTCCCTAACTAAATACTGTCTATAGTTTACGCGAGTAGTACACATTTAAATAAAACACTTTAACGGATTAAAACGCGATATATTAGTTATATGAAAATGATTTTTAACTTCGGCCCGACGTTTCGGATGCAACCGCAGCAGCCGTGGTCACGGGTTCAAATAAGTGTAACTAATATATCGCGTTTTAAACCGTTAAGGTATTTTATTTAAACAGTCCCTGACTAATAAAAAAATATTTTAAATCACATTTAGATCTTTCTTTTCAATTGTATATTATTTATTTCACTAAAAGAGCATAAATCCCTATCCTTTTATCCCTAATTTCGATAAACCCATATAGTCGTATAATAGTACTAAACATCCGTACATACTACTAATTATTATATACAGTTATAACTCACTCAAAGAATAAAGGCCTAGCGACAGTAGCGGAGTCGATGTGTGCTCGCCAGAAGAGTGTGTAGTAATATGGCAAAAGACGGTAGCGCATGCGCAGAGCGGTTCGCGAAGCATCCACCACGCTTTCACCCATGCTCACTGGGTCTTGGGGCTGTTGGGAAAAGAAAGCGATTTTAAAAATCCTGCGGGAAATTATTGTCATGGTTTTAAACTAATGTGTGCGGACATCAATTGCAAACTATGTTGTCAATTTTTATGAGCCCGAGTTTTCTTTCTCTTTATAGCCTTTGAAGGACTCACACCAGATTAAAAGTACTGTAATTAGCAACATTTTATTCGATGTGATGGTTTACGAAAAAAATCGATGACACAGACGGGACTTGAACCGGCGTCCTTAACGTTCCGTAGTGCTATTACCAATTTAACTATTGTCTCTCACACGTCATTGTCAAATTTATTCAACCCATTAATTACTCTCGCGCAATGTAATTTCAATCTTAAATAATTACAGTTAAGGGTTAAAGTTGAAATAATATTGCAAGTTTTCAAACTTGGGATCTTAAAAAAATCAAATGATAATAAAAATGGCGTGATATTTAATGCAAAAAAATACTTAATATTATAAATTAAATATTGCACGTAAATAAAACTGATAAGACAAACAGGCAAACAAAACTTAAATAAACCAAAAAGATAAGACTTCAGTTTGTTTACCTTAGCAGTATCACTATTATGGTTCCTCGAGAACGGATAGAATGCCCCCAATTGCATCCACCTCTTGCACAATTCCGGGGTCGTGTCGCCGATAAACCCACATATGTCTGCCCCCATAAGTGGGACACCGAAAAGACTGAAGCTAAGTAACTCTGGAAATATGTAGAATTCAATTAATAATATAGAATGAGTTAAAAATGTATCGAGATTGTAAAACATGTGCGGGATTTGAACTGGAATCCACACACACACGGTACACACAGAACGCTGTAGTTGCCGGTTCAAGTCCTGCCTTATCCTAAAAATCTAGATATAAAAAATAATAAAGCTCTCAAATATAGATTTAGATTTTATATGTCAAATTTGAGAGAACAGCGTATATATAAAATTTAGTAAGTTTTGTAACTAAGATATGTTACAACTTAAAAAAAGAAAAAAAAATTATAACAACGATTTATCAAAGAATGAAACATTCATTTTGAAAAACGTAATATTTCGTGAACCATGGAGCATTGGTGTACACCTACACAATATAACGGATTATGATTAACTGTTTCCCGAAATACCGGGTCGTACTTATAATTTGAGTTAAAGCCGTTAAAATTGTTTTATTTAACTTTCCAATGGTTAATAATAGATGTATGTTTGTACGTGTCCATGTACGTTATTACGTAACGATGTACGTATGAACATGACTACTCACGTGGTATTGACGCCTTCAGGTCGTGCCATTTGCTGAAAACGTCCCCGCTCCAATGCCCCGCGAAGTGTCCTAAGCCAGGGGAAGATGCCCGGGATATTATAAGCGGCCTCTTCCCTCGTATTTCTGCTAGGGCACTGAAATATTTAAGAAGGGTAATAATTTTTGACGGGAATTTTTGATCTAATAACGGTAGTGGATTCAATTCCCGTGCAACATGTTTTTAATCTATTTATAATAATTCCTAAACACATTGGACTCCATCTGGAACGTCTGAATGTCAAATGTGTGGTAGGAATGTCAAAATTCCGCCCGGGTCACGAATCACCGTCTACAGATAAAAAAGCTGTGAAGTTTAATAGCATACTGTCTATAGTTTACGCGAGTAGTACACATTTAAATAAAACACTTTAACGGTTTAAATCGCGATATATTGGTTAAACTTATTTGAAAATGATTCTAACTAATATATCGCGTTTTAAACCGTTAAAGTGTTTTATTTAAGTTTAAGTCTGTGGATTTCCAAAAACCAAAATGACTGGGGCATTTCACCAAAATTATCAAGGGAACCCCTCCTGTATGTTACCTATCTATAAATAAAATGTATAAAAAAACTTTTAAAAGTTGTATCTAATTCTTTGTTAACGATTTTGTCTTTGCAGTCCTTTTTTAACAATGTGTTAAGAATTCACTATTATTAATGTAAGACTAATATATACATGAGTGTAAAACAATACGAGATAATTACTTCTACAAATAAACCATGAAAAACCTGACCCTCTTCATCAAACTCGGTTAATATACTCACGAATTAGTAGCGACGGCTTCAGTGATGGCGTATAAGTTGTGGATATCGTAATGTGCGCCGGCATGGTGTTTCGCGTCCATACAGAGCGTCTTGTGTTTCAACCCCTCCGCTGCTATTGATATCGGCTTGTAGGGCAGTTCTTCCGGGGTGCACTCCCCGTACATAGACCCGGATAGGAAGTTGGAGGGTTCGTTCATATCCTAGTCAAAACACCACAGTTAATATACTAATATACAAAACTTATATCGCTTGTGCTTGTGCTGCACAAGAATAGTTTTAATGTTGAGAGACAAAACAAGTTGGGGTTACTAAAAAGATCTCTCTTCTCCCATTTCACCACCACACTTAATGTAATTTATTTTGATTACGACCCGACGTTTTGGATGTTTTACAGCAGCCGAGGTCACAGGACTGCTGCAAAGCATAGGAACTATCTCCCAAAAAATGGCATCAATAAACAAGAGGACACCGTGAGTCAGTTCTGCTAGGATCTAGCTAGTTTCTTCAAATAAAAAATGTGTTTATGTCAATTATTACGTACATATCAGCAATAAAAAATATTAATTTCTCACTCACAATCCACGCTCCATCAAAGTTGACCTTCCGATGGAAATCGGCCATCATTTCCTTCCAATACGCCGTTGTGTTGGGGTGGGTGAAGTCTGGCCACACCGTGGATATTCTATTCCATACCTGGCAACATTAAAAAAATATTGTAAGCTTCGCAAGTATTATTGACTTAGTGCTTAGAGCTTCTTTAAAATTAACTTGTAGAGGCTCTTAACCGTTCAAAACGCCAAATATTTAATCGGACCTATTTTAAACGTGTTTAAAGTGTTTTATTTTATATGTGCTACTAATAATACAGTCTATGCAAGTTAAGATTAGAGAGATATTTTAAACTTATTGTTAAATTAATAAGACTGAGTCCTTATAGAATCAAGTGTGGTTTAGGTGAGTAATTCAGATTCAAACCGTTTTAAACGAGAAACAATTAAATGTAACTTTACTTATATTAAAATACAAACTTTTCCGACAAAGGGTTGATCCGTGGAGTTCTTGACGAAAATGTCCATCTCCAGTCCCCGGTCGAATGGTGGATACTCACCCGGTTTCTCGGACGCGCTCACGCCCGGATCTGAAATATTTAAACGATATTGAATATCAATCAATTTGTTTTCTGCAGTAACTAATACATAATGAAGATTAAATATGAACTATAAAAAAAAGGCTTTCTTATACCAACACTACAATTAACGTAATAAAAACAAAAAAATAGGAAAAAAACAATGTGATGTTATATTGTAGTCTTCCGTACACCACGGTCACTGCAAAGCATCCGAAAGTCGAGTCGTAGTTAAAAATAAGATAACACATATATATCGCGTTTCAAACCGTCAAAAAGGTTTTATGATTTGTATTTTAGCAAATTTTCCTTTCCAAATGAAAATTAAGATACTCACCGAATAACAGAACGTAGTGCATGCCAGCTTCGTGTACGGTTTTCACAAAATCTGGGAAACCGGAAAACTTGTCCGTGTCGTAGGTGAAATCGTTGCCCTTGCTCATGTAATCGAGGTCGTTCCATTGAACATCCTGTATATCAATTCAGAAGAGAACGATGAGGTCATAAGACTAACGGTAGGAATGTAGGCTAATGATCAACGGATCTGAAACTGAACTGAAAATCTGGATGTTAAATGGGTGGTAGGAATATACAAATTCCGCCCGGCTCACGGACCACCGTCCACAGATGAAAAAGCCGTGAAGCTTAATCGCGTTTCGGTTACAGTCTGTGGATTTTCGAATAGCCAAAGGCAAAATACGTCGACAGCGCATTTGTTTAGATGCTATAGGCTGAAGCATATCACCTACCATCCAGTAAACCCCATAGCATCTCTGTCCTATCATTAAAGAAACTAGTGATATACTTGAAACCTGGTCATTTTGGATTAATTTAATTGCAAGTCAATTAGGATCTTAAGGGACCAAGACATATGCCTCAACACTTACAAATGGTATTCCGGCGTCCCTGTTCTTCTGCCAAACGTCACGCGTTACATTCAGAGAGCCGTAATTGTATCTGAGAACAAAGGAAAGAAGAGAATGAAAATTCCTACTGTGTGCACAAACTACCCTCAACCTTACTTGAATAAGCAAATCTATAGTACAATTACCTACAATTATCTACAATACAAATTTATCGTAATCAGAAGAAGCCTATTTTTTGTCTAGAGAGAGAATTAATCGTACACGTAGTGTCAATACAGAGTTAAATAAATCGAAATAAAATGTAGAGATGTAAAGTTTGTCGAGATCTACTATTCAGTAATGACTGTGTTAAAAGCCAAGTCAAATATCTTCAACTCACTTGCACAAATGAAAGCCGAGCGCCCAATACGGCGGCATAAAGGGTTTCCCAATGATCTCGGTGTACTGCGCTACGACGTCAGAGGGGGAGGGGCCAAGGAACATGTAGAAGTTGAGAACGCCCCCTATCGTTCTGTAGGTTATGGCCGGCGTCGGTTGCAGAACAATGTCTGGAAAACAATTTGATAACAGGATGATAAGGGGGACTGGTTTTCGAGCTGATCGTCTATCGTAGTAAGTATGGTTAACTTGATGTAAGGTACAATACTCCAGCCATATAATATCTATACAAGATGTTTTATCGACCTTTTTTTGCTTTGGATATTTGGAAATCCACAGAGTAAAATCGAAACGCGATTAAACTTGGCTTCTTTTTCATCTGTGGTTCGTGACCTGAGCGAAAATTAGATATTACTACCACCCATTTCATATCCAGATTTCCAGACGAAGTCTAACAGGTTTCAGAAAAAATTAGTTAATTACACAAATGTTGGACGCGCTGGGGATCAAACCCACGTCGGTTAGGGTAGGTCGCGAAATACAAAGCTTAAAACACCAACCGAATTCTATACGTACCCATAGCATTAGAATTGAGTAATATAACACCATGACTATTTCCATTTGTTTCTAGCGCCAAGTAGAACGGATGAGACCCATACAAATGTACCTTCAACAAACACATTTCATATGACATATAAAAACGTATACATTTCTTATAAAACCAAAAAAAAAAGCAAACGTTTTGTAATACTATTAAGTTATAATGTAAAATGTAAAAATAGTTTGTAAGTATGTCTGTTGCTCTATCCCGCAATGAAAACTGAACTCATATTGATAAAATCTCTGATATGTTAGTCAACATAGACTCACATTTTCCGTCGGCGGTTGATCGTTATTGAAAATCGTATGCGTTTTCCAATTTAAGTCGTTCAGAAATCTGTCCTGCTTTTCTCCAAGGCCATATGTATAGTTGGTCGGTAGAATTGCTGAGAATTGCAGAAATTTATCTGATAGTATCATCCCTCCTGTATTCTGAGCGTCCCATCTGTTAAAGACCAACGTTTTCAAAACATTCTATATTATATATTTTTTTTAAAGCTAACTAACTAACTAAAAATTAACTAGATTAAAAGTATTTAATCGCGTAAACAGACAGTATCTGTGTCTGTTTACGCGAGAAGTACACATAAATAAAACACTTTAACGGTTTAAAACGCGAAATATTAGACCTCTACATCTCCCCGTGACCACGACTGTCCGGTCGTAATTAAAGATAACTTATAAAGTTTAACTAATATTTTTCATGTTTTACCCCGTAAAAGTGTTTTATTTAAATTTTACTAGATTAGTAACTTAAGATTTGCCATTTCTAATAGTAATCCAATCTGGATTACTATTAGAAATGGCATATCCAACCAAGTTGTACTCGCCCAAAAAGGGTTCTGTGGCATTCATAGAGGAATATGATCTGCCCTTCTGTTACTACTAAAAAATATATTTTCACACATACTATAGCATCAATAACTATTTAAAGGTTTTAACTCACATCGTGACATTATCAGAATTTCGTACAACTTTAAAACCAACAGCCGAACTATCAACTTGCACCCGGTACTTCATTTCAGACACAGAATTGAACACCATTGGCACTTCAGGGTAAGCGGGTTCGAATCTTTTGTGTTCTGCATCGGATATCTGGAAATGTACACTAAGTATACATATGACTCGTTTTGGAAATACATATTTGTTTGTTCACTTTCCACGCCCATATGCGCTTGATTTTCAGCATGCAGTTATAAAAAAAACTGGCAATATGGTATAGAATAAACCAATTTCAAACAATATCTAAAGCAGGGAACAGTATTTGGTATAGAATAAGCAATATCCAAAGAAGTTACATTTTATCTTTACAAAAATTGTTAATTCTTCTTTTGATACATTAAAATATAATAAATGTAAATAAGTCTCACCTTAATTTGTAGTATTTCATTAGAGAGATAGTTAAAATCTATCCTGGCAACACTGAACTGTCCAGGGTAGCCAGTGTCATAAGACCGCGAATAGTATACTGTCATGCCATGTTTATTCTCTGTGCTATTAACGAATTGGTATGTTTCGTATTGCGGTGGGTAAAAACAATATGGCGCGTTTTGTGTATCTGTGACTTTCCAGCAGCAACCTAAAATTAATGATTATTTGAATAAGGACAGACAATTTTGAATGAATAAATAATAGAATACAACATACCTCTTTTTACACACCCTTCCTCATTTGCACCAAATTGTGGATAGCAGTCGAACCGCAAATCATCATCTACTATCCGAGCACACAGTTCCTTCATCACCTCCGGAGAATGTTCTAGGAAGCCCTTTTTCACTTCTTTCTTCTTGTTGTCAGTGGCATTACTTCGGTTCTTGGTGCTTAGGTTGTTGTGATCATGATAACGATATTCCGTGATAACAGGCTGCAATAATGAAAATGTACATGAGGAGGAGAATAAAGAATATTAAACATGCATGCTGAGCCAAATATGGACATAAAAAACGGATGCAATAAAAAAACATTTTTTTGCATTAATTGTTGAAGTGCTCTTGTTGTGTGTGTTATTTCAAACAGAACACACTATTGAAATAACTTACCTTCTCTAAAGTAAGTGGTGTAAGTGGTTTCTTTACCTCTTCGGGATGAACTCTTTCCCATAACCTTCTGAAACATTACAACGCAATAATTTTACTAGCGCAGATTGAGCTAAATTTACGGAAATTTATTGAGAAGGCAGATATGGCTGCATGATGAAAACAAAGCTTTTGGATGTGGATCGTAACTTATATATTTTACTTTTTAATTGTCAAAGTAAAAGTCTTTGTAAAAGTCTTTTATTCAAACACAAATAGGCACATATAAACTAGATTGATATAATGGGTTTAAAATGCTTACCTGTAATGATCATCCCCCCAACCGCCTCCCAACGCTCCAGCCACAGCCCACCAGGTTGCCACACCCAGGGCACATAACAGGCCAGCAACAAGCATTCCGGGTAAGAGTGTACCAGCTTGTTCCAACCAACGATTGAGGCACCCTTGGTTTGAAGAAAACCTTTCATATCTGGAATTTTTTAAATGGCACATATATAAACGTAAAGGCTGATAGAGTAAATAAATAATTATTCATAACAAGCTTATCATAAAACTATGTGTAAAATTATTTTCTTTAATATCTACTATAGCATCAAGTATTTAAAACAAACTATTTAAAGATTGTAAATATTTACTTTAAGTACCACGAACCACTGTTTTATATGTAGATAACACAGTAGCGAGTAAAAATACTTTCCTACATATGTTTACAATTATATAATTTATTGCATTTGATTTATTTAGGTATATTTACAGCTATTGATGAGTAATGGAATAAAAATTATGTTAGGCAAAAGGACTGAGTTTTAGAACTTAGGACCATAAGTTTGGTATTTTAATAACAAAGTACTTTTTCCCCAGACCTAGTATCTGGTGGCATTTGATTGAAGTAAGCACTAGACCCATATACTATACACACCCCAGCCACAGGTATACCATAATTATGTACTTACAGTTACACTCCACAAGTAATAATAAATACCGAACTAAACTACTTCTTGTTTATATGCAATAATAGGATAATAAAAATGATTAAAGTTTATAGGTCATATATATAAGCAGTAACAATCTAAAAATGTATTATCAGCAAAAGTATTGTTTACAGATTGCAATATTCATGTTTTACTTTAGTTTGCTTTATTTTTTTGAGATTAAGACGCATAGTTAGTACTTTTAAAGTGGGCTTGCGTAAAAATTTCATTTTAGAATGTTTAATTTATTTGTAATTGCGAGTGTGATTTATCTTTAAAAACACAATTACTGGAGAGGTATCAATAGAAACACAATTGCCCCATGCCCAAATTAAGACATCTACTTACCTATGTTCCCGTACATCTCCATCTATCCTCGCTTTGGGGATGACACCGCTGAACAAGGAACCGCGTCTCGCCTTATCGCTCTTACCGAACGGCGCAAAGGGAATCTTTCTCTTATGCGACGCTTTAGACCCATTTAAAGAAGTCTCTGTCTGAATTTCGGAGGCACCGGAGGCAGATGCCGCCCCGCTCTCATTACATTTGTTCTCTTTTCCACTCTCAAAGAATAAGCGATAGTTAATATTATCGTTTAAAGTCAATAAGTCCGCCTTCGCCGTGGGTGACTTGTCACAGAAGTCTTCGAAAGACACGATCTCGTAGTCTTCCTCGTCCTCTTTTTCCGTTTTATATGGTATTTTCGGCATTTTCACTAAGTGCGAATTTCAATAGTAATGATAACAAAAGATTTGTAACGCTTAAGCCAATTGTAACAAATAACACATTGTAATATGGGTGCACATATCACTAGATATACATAATGTAAATTAAGTTTAAAGGAAATTACTTAAAACTTATTTATTTAATGATATTACTTTAGTGTTTAAACGTTAAATATTTATTATTAAACTATTGTTATTGATACGTAGAACCATAGACTATACGCTGTGATACCAATATATCATTAAAAACCACAGTCATAGAATATAATATTTTACCCTCTTAACCGAATACAAACAGCCTAGAAACTAAATTATTGTTTTATTTTGCAAGTGGTAGTTGTATAAAAGTATGTAAAGACGGAAAAAATGCTGCAATAGATATATAATCTTATAAAGGAAAATATCATATTATTTTTCGAACAAAATAAGGTCGTTGATAATCTAGTCGTATTGTTTGGGGGTAGTCTGACATTTGTTTTAATTTACATAATTTTGCAAGACAGTCAATGCGTGAACAGCATGGTGGAGTGTGTAGAACATAGGTTTTAATGAAGGCCCATTATTTTAGTTCATAAAAAATAGTGTCCGAAACCGTCATGGATTGGAAAAATGCAAAGTTTCTATTCGCATCGACAGCGGCTGTAATGGTTGCTAGCCAAGTGGTGAAAAAGATATGCAAGTATTTCTACAACCTAAAAAGTAAACCTGAAACTGAAACGACCGAGGATGACGCGTGTAGTGATGTTATAAGCTATAAGAATCGGGAAATAAACGATGTGATTTTATTTTCTGATGATGTTGTAAGACATACCATTAAAGTTCCATCGAATAAAGGCGTAAGCATATGTGAAAGTAGAGAATTGAACTGTTTTAAATTAATAAAGTACATAAAGTCAGCACGAGAAACATTGGATGTTTGTATGTATCTTATAACGAGCACTGAAATAGCAGAACAAATTATAAGGTTAGGACAGAAACATGTGCTAGTAAGAATTGTTGTTGACAGTGATATGGCCTTCACACCTCCATCACAAATCAAAAGATTAAAAGAATATAGTAAGTACTCCTGTAGTTAACTTATTATCCGTGTTACAATAATACTGATACATTTACATTTTTAACTTATTTTCGTAATTTCAGGCTTCATTCAGGTTCAAACAAATAAAAAGTCAATACTTATGCATCACAAGTTCTGCATTATTGATGGACCAAAAGCAGTTAAAAGAAAAAACGCCCTCAAAGCTTATGCCGAAAAATTAAATGTCCATGCGCAGTTAGTAAGGCAAAATGTAAAAGTTTCAAAAACAAAAGTGGTTAGAGGATTTGTTATGTCTGGTTCACTTAATTGGTCTACACAGGCAATGGTCTCGAATCATGAAAGTGTGATTGTTACCTCAAATTCCAACATCTTGAGTAAGTTCGAAAAAGAATTTGAAAGCCTATGGGAAGAAGATGAACCGGTAAGTCTTTAAGCATAAGATTATTTGACTTTTTCCATGAAACACGTTACAATATTGTGTACATTTACATTTTACCCTTATCTTTTCAGGCTCTTTTGACAAACATCTGACAAACATATAGTTATTTCTTAGGACGTAAGAACTTCATTTTAAAGGTGAGTTATTTTGCTCAATTATTAAAAAAAAATATTTCATGTAGAATTTACAAAATATTTTTCGTGTCTGTAAAAGATACGATTCAAAATAATAATTATTTTGACATGGCAACATTTTCATTCGCCAGTCACAACTCATCTGACATCATTCGTTCTTTACTTTTCTTTGACATTTATTTCCATAGACAAATCCATGTGCACTTCAATTTAATTTCGATCGATCATATGTTTTCTTTGTGTAGTTTTTTCAGCCGCTGATATTCAAATTGGTTAAGAATCTAGTATTTTTTTTATTTAAATAGAAAGTATGTGAGTTGTAAATTATTTGAACGTCGTATTAAGTGGTTCCGTAAAACTTTAGTTTTATTTGTCGAATTGTTCCTATAAGTGCATATTAAATGCACGTGCTTGCACTTTATTTCAGTATTTCTTGTTTTTGAAGTGTTAAAACAATTTTGAAACACCTTAGTTTGAAGAAGAAACGTTTATATACCGTGCACGTAGCCGATTGTGCTTTTAAAAGGGAGATTTCTCGAAATAAACAAGTTTTGAAGTTTGTGTTAGGTTGAGAAGTGTATGCACTTTGGTTATTTTTTATGAAACTTTCACAGTATAATAGAAAGGTTTTGTTTTATTTCGTAATAGTGAAGTGGTTTCAGGTACGTAATAAGTCACCTTCCTTGAGATATACATCCAATGCACTTTGCAAATTATGACACATGCATGCACTTTTTAGAGGACACTTAGAGAAGGTCACTCTATTATTTTAAACTAGAAACGTCGACACTCAAATATTAAACTCTTTCTCTAGATCAAAAACCTTGCTAATGCTGGAAGAAAACAAATTCTCAATGTTTATTTTATGTGTAAAATGCGGTGTCCCAATTTTAAAGTGCGGTCATGTGTTATATTTGGTTATGTTCTAAACATTGTTTTTCTTTCGATTTGCAATGTTTACAGGCTAGCTTGCTTTAATTATTTTTAAAAATTGCTGTATAAAAATTAAGCATGCGGTATAATTTACACTGACTTAGGTTATACTTTCTTATAGACACATTCTGTGATTTAATTCTTTGTCAGCTATGTGCTATTAAAAACATCACAATCCTATTTAATAGATATATACATACATTAATGCACTGCATAGAAAAATACGATTTACATACATTAATATATAATTTTCTTCATATAACAATTCTGGTTATTAATAATACCAATTTAATATTTTTCTGCTGTAAATAAGGAATGTACTTTACGCAATGTTTAAACAAAGTATTTTAATTTGTGTAACATTTTTTTTCAGATATCACCAACCAAAATGTCTAACATCAACATCCAGTGTAATATCAATGCTGAGGCCATAGTGATTCTTCCAAATAGTGTGATTTTAGTAAATATTAAGTATAAAACGTGAAATTAAAAATTTATGTGAAGTGAAAAATGTCTTTATTAGTGCCTTTAAGTGCGTTTTGGATGCAGTGCTCATAGATGGCGTTAATGACATCATTGCTGAAGTGTTGAACGCGTTCTGCTACTCACCGATAGGTGGCGCTGGTAAGAAATGGTTTTTAATTTATCGTAACTCTAAAGCGACATCTTGTCATAAGATTACTTAGGTTTCAAAGCGCCATCTAGTAGTAAGTAGATTATGAACAAAGTTAGTGTAGATGGCGCTACATGTATCAAATGAGACATTTTAATCATATAACCTAATAATCTTAATACGATAAATACAATTATTTATTGCGTTTTTAACGTGCCTGGTTGATGTAATACAACTGTGTAGTAATATCACTTACAGTATATAGTATGTATCAAAATGTATCCATATAATTCAAGTAAATTTAGTAGTCTATGTCGTGAAAGTGAATATGAATATTTATTATGCTGATGTCGAAAGCAATGTTTTCTAAATCTTTAATACTACCTATAATTATCAGCAAACGATTGGCATACAACATAAATATCACATATACATTACAATTAGTACAAATAAGCCTAGTAAAATTTTCCAACGGCCGAATTTTATCACACATTCCGTAATCTAATTATAACCTACATAATTAATTGCTGTGAACGAATATTCAAATTATTCTCCGCCAGTTGATCCCTTTGATGTCCGTTGTTATAGCCACCATTCTCATGTAAATAATTCTTATTCTTAGAAAACGCGTTTAAAAATTTCCAGTTTACGAATACAAACTGCGCGCATTAACTCGAGTTTTAAGGAAAGTAGGAAGGAGGGCTCATAAAGATCGTTATCCCGATAGAGTGTGTTAAAATTTTATTGTTTATTGTTCGGCCCTTTGAGAAAATGCTGCACGAACGAACTCGTCGTTCAGTATGCAGATCTAGTTTTTTTTATAAATTAAGCCCTCTCCTATGTTTTAAAAGGCACTGGCTATAAACATTTCCTGTGTCTTAATTTCTCATCTAAATTATTTATTCCACATGAAATAAAAATAAATCTTGCTTATTATACACATTTTACATATTATGTATATGAGAAAGGTATGAAACTAAAATTCACAAACAATATGATAGCCGACATTCTATTGGGTTCGAATTCGGGGGAATCGTAGAACATATACAGATTGTACAATAAAACTTGGCGATAAAAGGAGTGGCAGCGAGTTTCTTGCCAGTTCTTCTCGTTCTTCCTTAATTTAAATTTAAAGTATTTAATTTTTAGCTAATGTGACGTCCATAAGTGTACTTAGTTAACATAAATAAATGATTTTTTACTTTTGACATGCGGTAAGTTCTCACCATAAAACTATTTACTTCGCTGCACCAGCTGTGCCTTGCCCACCTTTAAGCCGCCCGACTCACGTTCGACATATTAAAATGTTTTTATTTACAAACAAAAGCGCGGAAGGGTTAACAGCACCGGACGCTGTCCAGAAATGGAAATATATGGAAGGAAGTCGGGAATAAAAGTTACTTACATATGCAATCGGTTACACCGTAGACGGCTTTGTTAATGGTTTAAAAATAATATACTTGTTCATAAGGACGTTTTACTTCGTCGTACTTAACTTGCTCTAATCTCATCATGAGATTATTCTAACTGGTAGTTTGTAATTCTCTATTCTAACTATTTTGATTTTGTACATTATAGAAATGGTATGTGTGATACCTATGAGATGTTCATTAATTATTGAATGAAACTTTTTGAAATGTCTATATATATAAAAATTTAAGTAAGTGGATAAAAATATTTTATATTGATTTTGAGGGTGTAGGATATGTTTCTCAAGAATTGGTAAAAAGGCGCTTATAATTACGTATTTTGAGGTAAAACATGGGCTCTGTCAAATGTGGTCGATCCTTTCTATTTAAATAACACTTAACGGTTTAAAACGCGAAATGTAGTAGTTACACTTATTTACTAATTATTTTACCTACGGCCTAACGTTTCAGATGCTTTGTACCATCCATGGTCACGTTAGACAATTAGTTCAATTTCAGTTAGGTCAGTAGAGATAATGTTTTATCTAAGTGTATGCTCCTCGCGTAAACTATTATAGTCTTCGATCCGTTGTAATTATCAAAGCTTTGATTGGAATATAGCATTCATTAGCACTAATAACGCGTAAACACCGTTTATTGACAGAACAACATCGACGACTACATAAATCACGCAGTTAATTTACGCCACTATTAACGCGCGAAATGACCTCACAACAAAAGACCGATAATTGAATATAAATATGAAGCGAGTAACTGTCGTCCTAACCTTTTCGGGCGTAAAATAACGGCTATATAATTTCAATAACACTAAAGCCTTTTGTCGCGAGAGCTCGCAAGTACCTAGCCTACAATAATTCACTCATTTCAATATTTACGACCAATTGGTGCGAGTAGCTCTTTTACGACGCACTGAAGATGCATCCCTTGCAACGGAAAAAAAACATAAGTACGCGAATGGCGGAGTAATTGATTTGAATGTATCACCTGCCCGCAAGAAAATGCAGCGAATCCCAAGGAATATTTGACATCGTAACTCAAATGTCTGCATTGTATTGTGACGTTATTGTTCCGCGTATGTACTTGGACATTAGGCAATCGAACCCTTATTTATTTGAGGGTAGTTTTGATTTACGTCTGTGCAGTTGTGGCGGTTGCGTCTCTACGGTTTCGGCGATGGCGCCAGGTGTGCGAACTGAACTAGCTACAGCCTTATTGTGCAATGAATAAGATTTGCACAAAAACGTCTTGAATGAAAAAATTGGTGCACGACACATGCATTGTGAGAAGGACGGAGGTAGCACAAGTTTGGTTTCGGCGTTTTCGGTTCTATCACTATATATATAAGGGCTATAGTTCTGAATAGGATTAAATTAATGTACACACTAAACAGTAGGTGACTGTTTGCAAGCTGTTAGCTGGAGTCGCGTGCCGCTTTTGATTTGAAAGGTTTTAACTTTTAACGTCTTAGATTTCAGCACTATCGTATTACACAAGTAATGTCGGTAGAGTTCTCTTGATATTTTTAACGAAAATTCCGCTTTTCACACTGCCTACTTCTTATAAATAAGCGCAATCTGAAGAGAGTATTGCTTTGTCGAGATCCGACAACTTCGCCACTTGATCGGTCACTATGTATGTGTACGAGTATAAATGTCTCAAGTAAATAATTAATAGTAATTGGGATTTAATATCGTTATATTGGAAACGACAATTTTCATTAATAAAAGTAGAGTTTTCTATTTTTAGAAGAAGAATATCCTATGTTCTCTTGCCTGTCGTGATATGAAAATCACTTCAGTAGTTCCAACGACAATCACGACAAAATTATTTCTTAGCTTTTATTATATTATTATACTCCTTACAATATTAAAAGATACAATACGATTTTTATTTTAGAATCATATGTCTGTAACCAAGAATAGAAAGATTTCCTTCTAAATAGATAATACGTGTGGGTGCTGGTGTTACGTTACAGTACAAAGTTAAAGATTTCAATACTGTCTGTATTTTACGCGAGTACACATTTTAATAAAACACTTTAACGGAGAGACCTCCCCGTGACCACGACTGCTATTGATCAGTCCAGTCTGTGACGTCAGCGCATCAATCTGTAATACTAGAGCAGGTTGCGTGCCCGGTAGCACCGAACAACCGGTTTCCACCCCACGCTGTATAGAGTTGCAACAAAAAACGCCTTCCCGTCTAGGATTCTAGACAAGCTGGCGTACTGTCCGTTTTACAGCGCGTCTGGTGATTTCGTCGGTAAAACAGAACGTAGGTAAAACAGGTACCTTATAATGTAGGTATTCAAAGATAAATAACGATATTATTTCTCCTGAAGCGTGAGAGAACCTGGGTTCGATAATATCAAGAGAATCTAAAATTTCGGTCGAGCAGAGATGTCTGATGTATCATCATCGTATCAGTCCGTGCGGCCGCTGGTTTTGATGTTATTTTTTTATGATAGAGCAGAACAAACAATATGCTTGCTTGGGAGGTGAATACTATAACCGAATAACATTTAGACTAACGCTGTCTATTTTGGGCTTTTTCATGTGTGGACTTTCGATTTTCAGATTTCTAGACAGAGTCCAATATGTATAAGAAGAATTATAAATTGATTAGGCAGATATTGGACCCGGTGGGGATCGAACCCAATAGCTAGATTATACATTGTTATATTTACACCGAGGTACTATATTATATAAATATATATATATATATATATTAAGCTACGCAAAAGCCAATCATGTATAGTTCACCAATATTAATACCTCCAGTGCTACAAAGCCACCAATAGGGCACAAATCAAATATTAATGTAAACATCGTGTTCTTTATCTATGACAATACATTTTTAACGGAACGTCTTTATCATCAAAGGGCACATAGATATGCTTTATCGGTTTATGCTGTGACCTCAACTTGGTCTTATGGTCAATGAAAAAGCTAAAATGTTATTTATCTATTAATTCTCAGGTTATGACGTCCTGCCGCCGCTATAGCCAAATAGTTAAACGTGTTGCCTAGAATTTTTAATTTGCATTGCATAAAACGCGAGTTTTGGGTTCAAATCCCAGGTAAACAGTAGATTTTTTCTGTTGAGCAGGGCACAGATGTCTAATCAACTACTCGCTTGTAATAGAACTGACGAGTGAAACGGACACAGAAATTTATTGGCCCCATGCCCCACGTGATTTAACAGTTCACACTATAGGTGGTCCTGAGATCGAATAATATGAAAAATTGTTCGTACAGAGAACTAAAGATCATAGCCAACTTGAAAATTATATCTACTGTGTAAAAGTAGTAGTTTGATAAAAGAATTAACAGTTTAAAATGTGAAACATATTTGGTTAATTTAGTTTAGTTCGTCTCCTCGCGACCAGGGTCCTAGTTATAATATAGTTCTCATTTAAACCCGATAAAAGTATCATATGTG